GGCGGCATGAGGGCACTGAACCTTTGCTGGGAAGAAGAAGTCAGTTCAGAGGGAACCGGGATGAAAAATACCTCCCTTAGTTGGCAGTTCACCTGCAGCCTATGTCACATTTCAAAGTTGTCAATGCCTTTAGAGGAAACTACATAAGATATGATAACCACATATATATACAATATATAAGAAAAATATATAAGAATGATCACCAAGGTTGCCAGCCAGCCTGGCAGCCAGTGTCTCCTGGCCCAAGGAGAAACTTCAGGGTCACCGTCACTCTCCCATAGTCCAAACTGCACCATAATCCTTTGGGACATGTGGGTCCTTGGAGCCACTTTAGTGTCAGACTTCAGACTGTAGGGAGCTCCATGGTGGCAGCAGGTGAAGGAACCTCTGGATGGATTCTTCCTGGGAAGTTTTGCTAACTGGTAGCAGCAGGACAATATTCCTCCTTAACATCTGTCTGTTGGCATAATTGTCACATATTTCACTGTGGTGGCAGAGACTCAGCTCAGAATTCTATATAGAAAAACCACCTTGAGCCCAGTCTTTCAGTGGTTCAAGACAACTAGGAAGTAGCTGCTCTTGAACCTAATGGGCCTCCAGGCAAGATGTCCCTGCCTAGGATGTACCAGCAGACATTCAGCTATGATGATGCCCTGGACGACCCAGGACTCCTCCTCCATCAGTCATGGGCAGCATTCCCTGGAAGCCAGTGATTCCAGAGTGCAAGTATCAGCACCTGGCTGATGGAGCTTGTGGAGGTGGAGGAAGAACAGGCCGGTGTATCCTCCCCGGCATGTCCTTGTCATCAGCCATTGACAGTATGGACAAGGTCCCGGTGGGGAAGGCTAAAGCTACCCATGTCATCATGAATTCTCTGATCACAAAACAGATTCAGGAGAGCATTCAGTGTTCTGAGCCACAGGCAGGGCTGAGAGATGCTGGCTCCACACCCTACAAGGGCCTCACCACAGAGGAGACCAAGTACCTTCTAGTGGCAGAAGCACTACACATGTACAACATGAAGACAGCTGAAATGCAGGGTATAACTAGCCACATTTAGAAACAGATTGTCATCTTACGTAAACTGAGACTAAATCTACACAGTGGAGAGATGACTAAAGCAGAGAAGCAGGCTGCGTCAGCCCAATCTGCCCCAAGCAGCACCCCTCATTCTCCTCCTAAGCACAGGCCCAGAGGCAGGTTCACTTCTGGTTCTTCCATAGCCTTACCTGGCCCAAATCTTAGCACCATGGATTCCGGAAGTAGGGATAAAAACAGAAACCCATCAGATAAATGGAGCTTGTTTGGACCAAGAAGTATGATTTAGCGAGTTTTACCACCCAGGCCTACCAAGGAGCCCAGAAACCTTCTCCAGTGGAAATGATCCAAGCTCAGGACACTGCAGTGACTGAAGACCCAGCAACCTTCAAATCGCCCAAGATGGTCGTGTCTGTGGTGATGGAAGAAACAACCCCCAGGGACCAGTAATCTGAAGCCTGCCGACTTGAATGTGCTCACATCCATTGGCTTCTAGAGCTCGTTCTGCTCTAGATTCTAGAGCCCCACTTTCCTTTTACCTTGGTTTTGACACAGGAATGGTATATTTTTAAAAAATCTCTTAAACTGGGGCTAGAACTGAAGACATAATTGGTTTTTGAGAAAGATTAGGGCAAAATTTTCCCTTGTTCTGTAGAAGAAGCCATTCTGTACTGCTTTAAGTTAGATTAAATTTTAGCAGTGGTATAAAATAATAAATATATATGTGTGTACACATATATATACACACACATATGAATGAATGAAAACACAAAAGTAACTGATAAAAATCCCATGAACAGGAAGTAGCAGCTGAGTACCCAAGTAATCGCAAAAGCCAGTCAACACCGAGAAAACCTGAAGACCCACAGGTAGGCTGACATTTGCTGTTCCCCTGGGCCTCCTAGGAGGGTTCTTACCTAAGGCCGAAATGGGGAGAAGGTACAAAGGAAGTGATATACACGCAAAACAAATGAAAGCCACATGTTTTGAGCAGAAAAACATTAAGTTCAGACTATGCTATCTAAAGATTGATTAAAAACTACGTTTATAGGATGCTCATTTAAATTTTAAAAAGGAAATATTTTTAAATATGAAGGAATTTATGAGGATAGAGAACCAAGGAACATGTCTCTGAAATACT